ATGAACGCGAAAAGTATAAACAAAGTTACGAAAGATCAATAGTAATATTAATATATACAGTTAATTGTTACAAATACAATAAAAACTAGGGACGTTACTTAAATTGACCCAACTTTGCGTGTTCTGATTAGGTCCGGTAATGTAAATCCACAATTATTTATGCTTGATGATTCTGAGCAGGTTGGCGAACTCTCTAGTGATATAATCCCACGTAGAATGTGATATATTCCAATTACAGTCTATAAATAATGATAATATTTGATTTAGACTTCAGCTAACTCAATCACAAATGAAAATAGAACGAGGGATGTGTGAGTAGTAATGTATTTGTTAGCCAGCAAGAATATGTCACGCTATGTTGGAACCACAATGGAAAGTGTCTTCAAGGTCATTGACTAAAACAACACGTACAGTCATTTAATGATGAATGTACATACAGTGAAAAATTGGCAAAATAAATACAAATAACACTGAAAACTATTTACAAAATAAGGTTGTCAGGTCTATCTCCACAGCTTTGCCACTCTTGATTTGTCTGATGGCCATGCTGATTTCTTCAACTGTTGTTGGGCCAACATTGATTGGGAGGTCCCTGGGTGCTGCTTCGATGTTGGGTGGGTTCAGTGGAGCTGGTCGATTCAAGAGTTCTTTGAAGTGTTCTACCCACCTGTCTTGTTGCTCCTCAATGTTGGTGATTACCTCGCCTTCCTTGCTTTTCACTGGTCGTTCTGGTTTGCGGCGATTTCCAGAGAGTTTCTTTGTCGTGTAATACAATTGTCTCATGTTTCCTTCTCTTGCAGCCTTTTCCGCCACCGTTGCTAAATCCTCCACATATTTACGTTTGTCGGTTCTGATGCTCCTCTTTACTTGTTTGTTAACTTCTGTGTATTCAGCTTGTGCCTTGGCTTTTTCTGCTCTTGTTCTACTGGTATTGATTGCTGCCTTCTTGTTCCTTCTTTCTTGAATCTTATCCAGTGTATCAACAGTGATCCATTCTTTGTGATGGTGCTTTTTGTGACCCAGAACCTCATGACATGTTGAAGTGATTGCCTCTTTGATCCCCTTCCAGTTGCTCTCCAAAGTAGTTCCTTCTCCATTGAGTAGATCATGAAAGGCCTGAAACTTGTTGCTGAGAAATATCTTGAATTTGTTGAGTTTGTCAATATCATGAAGAAAAGCTGTATCGAACTTTTGTGATATTGTCCGCCCCGTCGTCCAGTGCCTCTTGAGTTTCAATTTCATCTTGGCGACCAGCAAGTGATGATCTGATGCTATATCAGCTCCTCTCTTGGTTCTCACGTCCTCTATAGTCCTCCTGAATGTTTTGTTGATGCAAATATGGTCGATTTGGTTTTGTGTAGAGTGATCCGGTGAAGTCCATGTGGTTTTGTGTATGCGTTTATGTGGGAATATGGTGCCGCCTATGACCAGCTTATTGAAGGCACATAGGTTTGCAAATCTCTTACCATTTTCGTTTCTTTCTCCCAGTCCGTGTCGTCCCATGATGTCTTCATATCCGGTGTTGTCTATTCCGACTTTGGCATTGAAATCTCCCATCGGAATGGTCAGGTCTTTTGTTGGGCACTTCTTGACAATTGACTGCAGCCTATTGTAGAATTGATGTTTAGCGCCTTCGTTGTAGTCGTTGGTAGGCGCATAGCATTGGATGACAATCATTGAAATGCCCTCTTTCTTTGTTTTGAAGGAGGCTTTGATGATCCTTGGTCCATGAGATTCCCATCCCATAAGTGCATTTTGTGCTTGTCTGGACAGCATCAATGCAACTCCTTGTATATGTGGTGCATTTTCTTCTTCATGGCCGGAGTATAACAGGAGCTCTCCTGAAGTTAGTCGTTGTTGTCCAACTTGCGTCCAATGTGTTTCACTGATCCCAAGTACCTCTAGGTTGTATTTTCTCATTTCGGCAGCAATTTGGAAGGCTCTCCCGGTGTCCCACATTGTACGAACATTCCATGTACCTAAATAAATGGTCGCTCTGGTTGTCAGAAGTGGCATCGGCCTCGTAACTTCCGAAGGAATTCGGCTTTTATCATGAGGCGTCATAATTCTTCTAAATGAAGACCTTTTGACTCCCGGGGCAGAGTTTAAAAGGTTTGAATATTTTTTTCTGGTTAGCGTATTTTTAGCGTGTTAGTTTTGTACGGGATGGGGTCGCTAACCCCATGCCCAACCCTCCTCCTTTATCCGGGCTTGGGAGCGGCAGTAGCCCCCGGAGCGACTCCAGGCGGAGTTTTGCGGCCTATGCTCCATTAGAAGTAACAGTCGTAAGTAAGTTAGTAAGTAATTTCACTGTGGTTCACTGTGGACAGATGGCTTGGCACATTGTTCTGTTGTTGAGTCGTGCTCATTAGCTTTCGAATGAATTTGTCACATTCGGTTAACTTAACATTGTAATTGTAACTTCTTAACACCTGTAGCAATTGGTTCCAACATTTGTGCATTCATTCATCTATTTTTTAAGTGTAACACTTGCCCTAAATTGTGTACGTGGTTCTCACACCAACAGCGTAATTTGCATCTACCAACATGGTTCAGAGCAACAGTCAATGACTTGATAAACTCTTTTGATATGACCACCTGTAACTCTCTTCAAGTCTCCACTCAATACTGATTGTTACATTTCACATCGTCTTGATTCAAAAATTAATTTACATGCTAATCCTTTGAATCATTTATGCCCGTCTTTTAAGTGAGATTCTATTAAAACATTTTACTTTAGTCTTTATATTATTTATAATAAGCATTGATTAGTAAAATGACCTGATTCTATTCACCTTCAATAATGAAGTTTGAAAATTCAACAGTTCAACATACTTAGTCAATATTGTTATATACTAGATCGATATTTAGTTGTATGCACCAAAAGTTCTGTAGGTTTACAACATGAGAAACGACTGTTGAAGGTTAGAAAAGTAAGTTGTGATGATATTTGGCAATATAGTATGATACATTAACTTTGTCAATACAATAAACATGTTCAAATAGGTCGTTTGTGTAGATGATTGTTACTGCCGATAACCTGTCACGAGTAACATAGAAACAGTTTCTCAGATAATACTATTCAAAAAATCATTAATTTCATACACTGGTCATTCCACTAATTAAGTTCACTCAGCTCCTCTCCTAAACATATTAACAAGCATTTAGGCTATGAAAACTGAACTTGCACTACTCACATTCACTCCATTACCTATTCCTAACCAATTCAATAAATAACTCAATACTACATGAAATGCATAGAAACACGCACATAGAAACTAATTTGTAAAGCACGTCAGGGAATTGTTCATAACAATTTCAAACGTTTTACGCATTAATGTGACAAAATGATGATAGTCAATCACGTTTGAATTTCACTAAAAGAACAAAACAAATCCAGAATTCAACTCTTCCATTATGATTGTCTTCAGCCTATACGATACATTTACCAGTAATTACTTCATCATTTACATTCCAATTACTTCGAGCTGTACACATTTTTATTTATTCCGAATAAATGAAGATACAATTGACAAAATATATTTATTTCAGTGTCCACTTCTTCCAATCTCTCCTTCATATACTTCATCCAGTTACTGTAATTTGTTGCATTCGTTTTTCTCTCCACAAATCTACTATTTAACCAAGTCAGATGAATTTCATTCACAATATAAAACTATAACTCTCCATTGTTTGCAAACACTGAGTTTATCGAAATTAAGTAATCTATTGATCACGGTTATTCGAATTGTACACATGAACATACGTGAACATATTAAATTTGTTCCGCTTAGCACTATTCACAGACATTCTTGTGTGCAGCGTCCACTACAATAGTATCACACTCATTTCCCTTCACTTATCAACTTCCTTTCCAAGAAGCAATAAAAAACGAACAACAAATTAATTATTATTAATTTCTAAAATGATCTCCATCACGAAGTGACATCAATTTTGAGGAATTGTTGAGTAACAGGTAACAAATAAAAAATTCTAGTAGTATACAATCATACTTCACGATTACTCGATTGCGCTCATCTACTCACTCATCATTCAGTGTCACCTCGTGATCACACAACTAAAACAAATCCAATCAGCTTAATAACTATGTCCATTTCATTTGAACAAATCAATATAATACTCATCACATAGTACACACATACTAGTCGTCAAATCAATGTCTAATCCTAATATCTAATCCATTCATAAGTATTCAATACAAATTCAATTTTCGCATATTCATGCTCTATGCATCCATCTTTCACATTATTGAACATGATCCACTTCTCTGTAGTCTAGTTAAAATAGATTAAACTAAACAGATCGAAACTCGTATCGATTGTTATGAAGATTTCACAGAGCTTATATAATTCACGTGAAAATGTGAAGATCGGATTTGGAAGTAAAATGCATAATATGCATAACAACATAAATAATGTGATAGTTGAGATGAAGCATTGTCAACATCTCTCGATCCAAATGGAATAATGGTGTTGATGAGGAACAGGCTGAAAGTGGCTGGACAAGAAAGCAATTGCAAGTGAAACCTACAGAAATACTCCAGTCGAATATACAAGAATAACACAAGAAATCTATTGTATTTGTTGTCTTAATGAGACTATTGAGTAGAAGGATAGTATAATGCACCTTTATAGTAAGTATCATAATAACAATAATAATAATAATAACATAAGTAGTAATAATAATAATAGGTAGGTAGGTCACAGTAAGTCAGTCATTCACACAAAACTATTGATATTACTAACATATGAATGCATTCACCATAGCATATTTTAGTAATGAAGACTATTTGACAAACTAACATTTATTTCTCATCAACTGACTGATATGTTGTATACAAGAGTAGTACAGATCATTAGTGAATATTGAAATCAGTTTATTTATACGAATGATTTATCAATGTATTTAAAAACACACAGTACATGATTATGTTTGCTCAATCCAAGTAATCTAATGCCATGAACTTCATGAAGCTCATTTTATACACCCATAGTTGTATTATAACTTGGCGCCGATTCCTCCTCAAATTCAAATAGTTCTCTCAAACGCTTTATGACAATCTGAATGATATTATCGACGAAATTTCCATAAAAATCATCTGATATGTTATCCTCTCCATCATCTGTCACCATATCTTCCACTTCACTCACTTCGTCTGATGCAATGTTTGAAGATGCTGGTGTCGACATCATCGCCACTTCACACATCAGATATTGTGTCAAACACAACAATACAATCGCCTTGATCATCATTGTGAATACAGAATAATGAATGTGTATAATTCTATCAGAGAGATATCAAAGCATATTTATATTACTTTGTTAACCATGTTCGTGATTCGGCATAGAGTTCATGTGATTACAAGTTTAAAATGGAGTCAACAATTGATCATGCTATTACAATTTTCTTTTGATATTTTTCATGTAGTAAATAAGTGATCATTAAAAATGTATTGAATGATCAAACTGTCTTTCATTTCCACCTGTCCACTTTGATTCAACCATAATGAATAATTTGACAGAGCATCAATTTCGGTTAGTCATCACAATGCGTCAATCTGTGTCTATTCACATCTATGAATGATATATTTTTGGTGGATAGGCTTGACAAGTTTCAAATGGATCAGTTGAATAATTATGGTGGTCAGAAGCTGTCAATTTCTACTCATTGTGATTAAATCAATGTGTTTACTAAGGCGATACTCGGGAGGAATGAATATCATTTTGTATTAACTAGCCAAATACATTGAGCGTTCATTTCAGGAATGAGTAGCACTGAGAGTCATGTCAATGTCACTGGAGATCACTGTGAAATACTTTGTCTGTAATTATGACGAAACATACAATAATTCAATATATGAGCATCTAATCAACTCTGGACACGTGGTTCCGAATGCATCTTCATTTAAACTTATCCATTCCATCAAATGAATTGGATGAATCTATGGATGGATGTGAGGTCGATTCGAAGACGTGTGCACTACTGAGGTGTTGTCAATCCACCAATTCAAGACCGAACTCTGTATGCAAACCGATGAGTTGAACCTTTTTTCTTTTCTCGACCGTATTTCACTTAGGCAGTTTAGTTTTTTCCTTTCTATTGCTGAACATACAGACCTCCCTATACATATCACTCTGCCAATGATCGAAGAAATCAGGATTGTCATCAAAAATATCATGTGTGGCAAAGCATCAGCACCTGACAATATATCACTTGAATTACTGAAGCCACACATAGAAGTAACTGAAAGCATGATTCACACTCTATTCAGGAAGATTTGGGAGGAAGAGTAAGTGCCACCGACAGACTAGAAACTCAGCTACATCAGTACCAGAAAGATTCAGTGGACGCCCAAATTCTACATCAACGGGTCGGATTTCGTGAGGATCGGTCGTGCACAACCCATATCGTGACATAACGGATCATCGTTGAACAATCGATTGAATTGAATTCATCACTATACATCAGCTTCCTTGATTATGGGAAAGCATTTGACAGTGTGGATAGGAGAACATGATGGAAACTTCTTCGACATTATGTAGTGAGTAAGTGAGATAATCGTCAACGCCATAGGGAGTTCACACGATGGACTAAACTGTAATGTCGAGTACGGAGGACAGATTACAGATGCATTGCAAGTAAGGATCGGAGTCAGACAAGGCTGCTTCGAATTCATCAAACTGCCTACAAATTTACGGCAGACATGAAAAGTATGAATAGCAACTGGAAGCGATTGTCCAGAACAGAGTTGAATAGAGAATGCAACTAATCGAACAGTAAAATAATAATGTTTTCGAATTGACAATATTTATGTTCGATTACTCATTGATTCACGTTGATATTAACACATGAACACCGAATTCATCAAGCTACCTACAAATTTACGGCTGTTACTCCTCGTGGAGGAGCATAGATCAACCACCAGCAATCAGATGACAGTGACGAGAGTACTTCATCCACAATCCTTCGGTAGAGTGAATATTCTGTCTGGGATCCGCAGATTATTATCATTCATTATTCTTATAGTTCAAATTTCAATTGATTTAAGCTGTATCAATGGGTTAATGAATATTTACATTTACAGTTGTAGATATTAGTGTATTTGGTATTCACAACGTGATTTTGATTAGTCGTGTTGGAATATATATGGATGTTGAGAGGATATATTGATATTATCACCTGACCAGTTCCGAATACAATGAAATTCGTTTCCTGGATCATACTGGTATCTACAATCTATGTATAGTAGACATTATAACTAAAAGCAAACATCGATATAAACATTCTGTTTGTACATATCCCATTTAAGACACATCCCGAATATCCACAACAGTAAAACGTGAGCACTCACAAGTAAATATTATATGCATTGAACATTTTAGTGTCTTCAATTAGATCGTCATCAGGCTTTACTCTAATATACATGAATATTTATACGAAAATTTTAAACCAATCAAGGCAATATGGGTCAACAATCACTAAGGGAACTGCTCCTAAGATGCACTCTGAATGTACATTTTGTCTTCAACAATACTTATTATAGACAAATAGACGGGATAGCCATGGGCTCGCCTCTAGGCCCGATTTTAGCTGACCTCTTCCTAGCAAAGCTAGAAAACGGACCTCTCAATGAGACTATTAAGAAACTGGATTTATATTGCCGATACATTGACGACACATTCATTATCGTAGATCAAAACACTAGTAAAGAGGAACTCCTAGACCAATTCAACAGTGTTCACCCAGCGATCACTTTCACTGGTGAAAGCGAGCATGATAAGAAGCTGAGCTTCCTTGACGTCACACTAAGCAGACGAAGTGACGGCACACTAAGTAGACACTCTAAGTCAGGAACTTGAATTTATCAACAACTCACTGACCGAGATCGGCTACCCCAGCGCGTTCATTAAGAAGTACATGCAGGATATAATGAAGAAGTCGGAGATTTCGACTGTTCGTAAGAAACCTTTATACATGAAAGTGCAATTCAACGGGGATGTAGCTAGTGACACTCTGAAATATAGGTTAACCAAAGTAATCACCAGGACAGTCTACGCAGCCAATCTTGCGTTGACCTTCTCTTGTCGACCAGCGATGTCTACTCAAACGAAGGATAAGTTACCTGAGTTGGCCTCTTCCATGTTCATTTACAAATTCAGCTGCTCCTGTGGAGATAGCTATATAGGGCGTACTACCAGGCAACTTAACCAACGAATGAGTGAACATCTACCAACTTGGTACATAAAGGGCCAGAGAAAAACTATTCGCAGTTCTATATTGGCACATCTTATTGATAGTGGTCATGCAGTGGATAAATCGAAATCATTTCGAGTTATCTATCGTATACCTCCATCATTTCCCGACGGAGTCCGTTCCCGTCTCCTATATATAGCTGAAGCCATTGGAATTCGTACATATAACCCCAATTTATGTGTACAGAAGAAATACGTGACTCCCCTATCCCTTCCATGGCCAGTTATAACTTAACTAACAATTTTTTATTTATTTTCATTATTATTATTTTTATTTTAAATTTTATTATTATCATTATTTATTTATTTTATTCTATCTGTGTTATCGTTAACCTTATTTCCACATCCATTATTTGTTTGTAATTTTCGGCCTCTTTGTAGTCTTCACTATCTAATTATTTACACACATCTTATTACGTAATGATTTTAATGTTTTGTGATTACTATTCCTAGTCTATTTACCCATGTTTATTTGACCTTCTATTTCCAACGATTAACTATTGATAAGAGTTTGTTATTGTATTTTATTATTCTCACTATTATCAATTCACCTGTCTTCCTACTACTATCAACTTGTACTTTTACTTATTATGTGTAGTGACTTATTCTATTTCATTGTGATGATTGACCCATATTGCCTTGATTGGTTTAAAAAATTTTCGTATAAATATTCATGTATATTGGAGTAAAGCCTGATGACGATCTAATTGAAAACAATTGTTCGCTTATATGTGTTGTTCTAATTTTCACAATGGGGATCTTTAATATTTTAGTGTCTGTCTGGACTCAATAACTTGGTGGACAAAACACGGATGATTATAACAGTAGATGGTGATGTTGAGACCTAGTATCAAAATAATCACGTCTATGAATGTACATTCATCTGAGTTGCTATTTCCACTGACTAGTGTTCATATCAGTTTTGAATACTATATCAAAATGTTCAGTTACATGTTCCCTTGCTTCTCTACTTCCATTCATGATTCACTAACAAATAATTTTCTTTTATATTATTCGTTCAAATTTGGTTTTCGATTTCCTACAAGCATCAATCATTTGAATAGAAGGGGTTTTGTGGAGAGTTTTAGAAATTTCACAGGTTGAAATCATGAGTCGATTGAAGTTAGACCACCATGGAAAACCTGGAAGCACTGGACGGCCCTTTCGTCCTAGCATGGGACTCCTCAGCGGTGCGCATCCACGATCCCGCACCACGCGGGGCTCGAACCCAGGACCTACTGGCCTCGCGCGCGAGCACTTAATCATTAGACCACTGAGCCGGCATCCAACGGTGTTAATGTCCGCGTGGTGCGGGATCGTGGATGCGCACTGCTGAGGAGTCCCATACAAAGACGAAACGGCCGTCCAGTGCTTCCAGGTTTTCCATGGTGGTCTAACTTCAATCGACTCATTTGAATAGAATTGAACATGAACTCTTTTGACTATAACTAAACCAACCAGATAAGAATCTATACAGATAGTATTCCTTAGGATGTGAAATCAATTAGGGGCACTATTGAAAGGAAGGGTGAAATCGATAGCTGCTTCGTCCTCTCATGCGACCCCATAGAAAATGAGTATCTCCGATACCAACTGGGATCGAAAGGAAGATGTTCAAGTCTTGTGGACTAATTATTTGATGAAGAATCGTTGTCGTTGTTAAAGCTAAAAATAATTATGTGAGAATAATTATTGTATGATAATCAAAACAACTCATTGTGTCAATGAATAAAAACGAAGAGATTTCAGAGAGGAAGATTTTCTTTTCGACGAAATCATTTACTTGATCTGTACATTCATATTAATAGTTGTATGGCAGATATATGTGTATATATGGATAGAAACGAATGTATTACGAAAGGATTCAAGATTCCAAATATCCAATGAGGTCGCGCAATCATTATGGGATCAGACTAGAATACAAGCATGAAAATAATTTCAGGTTATAAATTTTG